ATTTCGATTTCATGTATGTTCGAAACGCCACGTCATAAAATCTACAGAAATGAAAGTTAGTATACGGTACGTATATTATATATATATTAAAACTGTTTTCAGCAAATTTAGAAAATGACAGATTTGCTTTTTTCCTCAAAATAAACCTTATTTGTTTAGTATTTTCCTATTTTACTTGATATTTATGCATAGCGATGCATGTTGCCTGTAACGTCACCTTTACAGTTACCTACCGATATGCCAGCCTGTGTGGACAAACCGTAACCCGGTCTTAGTAAGGGTGCAAAAAAAAAAAAAAAAAAAAAAAAAAAAAAAAATGTAATTTCAAAAATTCTGTGAATAGTCTTAACCTCAACGTGTATTTTATGGTCTGTTCGGTTTGCTAAACAAAACTGATGATAACCTAATTAAACGACATGCATATGTATGTAACATCAAATCGCCTTTTATGAATTTTTTAAGCTTTGTTGGGTCTTTGTGTAAGATTAATCAATGAACAGAATTCTATGGCCTATTAAACCCGTCCACGGTTCCATATTTCAAAATAAAGTGTTCTACGGGGAAAACCCTCGCCTTCCTCCTTTTAATGGGTACCCAAAAAGCCATAAACAGGGCGTACCTTATGCCTCATCATCATCATATCTCTTCCGGGGGATCTGTGACTTACCCTCTTGTTTCCCGGTGGCAGTCTGTCTCACTCGCTTCTTGGCACCTGCTCTCCTGCTCACCTGGGCCGCTCTCAGGTCTTCATAGCCCGTGTCCACAGCCATGATGAGCCTGGATGTTGAATCTTGATGTCCTCGCTATCTTTCCGTGGAAGTTCCTCTCTGTAGGATCAGTCTTCCTTGACCCACTGTTTCTGCAGCTGATTCTTCAGTCTCACAGCTACTTCCAGACATTCTGTGTTGCCATAGGTTCTCCTCCCTTTCTCAAGTTCTATCCTACTTGTTCATAGAGTACTTGAGTAAGATTCTGTGGTGGCAGCATTACTTGGCACATCAAGAAGCATGCCACAAAAACTGAATTCAGTCTGCAATGTTGATTAATGCCTAATAATAGCTAGCATTCAGTTAATCCATGCAGCTTCAAGATCATACCACCGAGCATGGCTAATAATTTGTGTGGAATTCATGACGAGCAGATTGTAACAGGAACAACGAAGGGAAGGACAAGAAAACACAAATATGCCGAAGGCCATTTCGCTATTGCTTCGTTAGGGCATAACAATAGCGAAAAGGCCTTCGGCATATTTGTGTGTTTTCTTGTCCTTCCCTTCGTTGTTCCTGTTGCAATCTGTTCATCATGAATTCCACACGTGTTCTTTAACGACGATAGCGAGGGGCGAGAATTCACACGACGAAAGCTACAAAGCACAAAAACCGCATGAGGTTCCTGAAGGAGTGCGTGAAGGAGCAGGTTCTCCCTCGCAGCACACACCCCATCTCAAAGGAAAGTCTCACCCATTTGCTGAGAGTGCTAAATGTTACTTAAGGGAATGGATTACTGAGTGTATCGACGAGATGGAGACGCTGAGGAGCCGCCTTCCGGGAGTTCATCTTCCCCACAGACTCGTCCTCGAGCTTAGAAAAGAGGACGAGGCACAGAAGGCGAGACACAAGAGGTTATTGGAGGAAGCTTGTACCAACAGTGGGTGGTCTGAAGTGGTGCATGATGACCTGATAATTAAGCTATCACACAAACCTCTCACAGACACTCAAAGGCAAGCATTGTCTTTAGGTTTAAAATTCGATACCGGTACCCCTAGGAAAGGCATGGCTGACTACATCGAGTCCAACTACCGCAGGAATCTCTCCGCAATAGAAAGAGGGTGTTGCGACCTGTGCAGTCGCCAGCGCCAAAGGTCATGAGCCTGCCATTCCTGATAGGTACACCAAGGCCCTACAGGAACTTGGCAGAGACGAATCCATCGTCATTGCTCCAGCTGATAAGGGTGGTGGTGTCATAATTAACAGATTATGTCTCTACGATAGAAATACTGCTCCAAAACGTTTTTTTCTTACAGACAAGCCGAAAGAATGCGGAGGCAAGATCCCTAGAATTCAACAAAGCAGCAAGGAAGCTCCTTTATTTGTCCATATGCCCTGACGAAGCAATAGCGAAAAGGCCTTCGGCATATTCGTGCGTTTTCTTGTCCTTCCCTTCGTTGTTCCTGTTGCATGGCTAATAAGCCAAGATGATCCAGGAATGACAGAACCCATGCCTAGCCGTCTGCATGGAAGAATACAGCGTATGACCTCAATATGTCTAAAAGATGTTACAGACATGATGTTCAAGATTAGTCGTCTTCATGAAGCGAGTCGTCTCCCAGTAGCCATGCTATTTCAGTTCATGTTATATAACCAGTAAAATCTTTGAACTTTGGCAGAACCCACATTGTGAAACTCAAATGGCAGCAGCATTGGTCTCTTAGGCTTACAAAAGCGACCCCATGCCACGTTAAGAAAATAAGGAAAAAAAACTGATGTGCTACATCTACCTTAATACTTTGACTCCCTCCCATACCACACGCATCCCCCCTGAACTCCATGACAAGACCACCAGCAACTGTTCCAGCTGAAGCCAAGGCACATGATTGTTCGAGTTGGTGGCAGGTTTTCATTTCCACCCTCCCTCTTCCTCACCCACCTGTCTGTATACCCAATACAGTGCAGATTTGTATTATTCCTGGGGACGGTATATATGTTAATTGTAATTACTGTGGCGATAGGCGGCATTTTCGATTGTTACTGTTCTCAGCTTCACGGTTCCGTACCAGACATAACAGAGCAAGGACATGTTTTTGTCCTGCTGTGGCCAAATGTGACCTGTGCTTGCCTGATCACCCAGACAATGGATTCTACAAGGAACTTTCGATTTCTATTGAACAAGTGCGTGACCTTGTTCATAAAATATTTATAAGGATCAAAAGAAACTTAGTGAAAGAAATTTGAAAAAAAATACATACCACTTACACGAGTGGTTATATGAGGAATCTGTGTAGTCTCTCCATTAACCGCATCCAAAGCAAATAGGTAAGCTCTGAGCGACATTTCAGCAAATGATTTGACCTCAGAAAATCTTATTATATAATGGAAGACCCAGGCCAGTTTCTCTCTGTAAATGGAGATGCACATCACGGCAAGTGACATGAATATCGAAAACGAAGGAACAAAATAAGCAAAGTGGCAATAAAGTAACTAATCTGTAGAACTTATAACAGCCATATATGTGCATACTTCAAGAGGGATACAAAGCTAGCAACACAGGGACAAATACCATATTGTGTTTTCAAGTCCTGAAGATAGCCCCACTTAAAAAACTAAACGAGCCCCAAAATGAAAAGTAAGTCGAAATAATATCTATGCAGTGTAAAAATGAAGAAATTCATACACACTGAAATACTACTGGAGTGGCAGGAGAAATCCTCGAAATAAGCAGAGCACATGGTAAGCAACTCCCTAGGAAATGTGTTGATTGCAGACGATCATAATGCAAACTACATTATGTGCCTACTAGCCGAACGATAGAAGAAAAACCAAAGCAGCAATAGGTCGTTCTGCCCTCTCAAAACCCCATCCCATTTCCTCACCTTAACAATGAGGCAGATTTCATCTTGGAACGGTAAATGTGGCAAGGTATGGTGTACTCCTTCATTGGCTCTCACACATCCTACATATACCATAACCATGGGACACTATCAGCCTCATCAACCATTCAATTTAATCAAATCTGATGAAACTTCGATGCCAGTAGAAAGTTTTCTAAGGGACATTGTAATATCAGTTAGGCAAAATGGAATCCCTGACAGCATAGGGTTATCAGTGCTATGTGTATAGTATCTATAACTGTTCCCAATATGCGAAACAATCTCAATGCGTTTAAGACTGCACTCCTAGTCCTGCGCAATTAGGATATTTTTTAAAGCAATTTTTCGCGCATCCTTTCGGCCACTGAGACCAGGTTGTCTGACAGAATTAACACAACTATGTAGACCTGATAACAATATCTCGGGGATTTCCCTCGAGAACAAGGACGATTATCTGGATTATCTAGTAGAAGCACAGGAAATACAGGTTACCAGGTTTAAGAAAGAGGCCCGAGGTGAAACAATGCACTTTCCAAGGGTTTTTAAACTTGGGGGGGGGATCTACTAGGATGGACATACCTGAACAGGATCATCATTGTATAGAGCAGAGAACAGCCGCCACCTACTGAACATCTTCGGAAGGTACAGAGCGGAGCTATTCGACCGTGGAGCCGAGATTATCCCCTACTACAACTACCAGGGTTGCAGCATTATTAATTTACGTGACGAAGAACATCAGTTAAATTGGAAAGACGCCAAATTAATTCATAGAACGTCAAATTCGTACGAAAAATAATCCAAGCCCTTTTAATTAGAAAATTGCCTAATTTTAACTAGAGTGCTGGCCAATAGGGATTAGATGATATTACCTCATCACTTGTTAGCAAAGCCTTCCACAGACTTCGACCTTGATCCTCCCCCTGAGACCTAATCCAGATCTTGCTCATTCTGTCTCTCTATCACTATAAATCACGTCAAAATTCTCTCCTGGTATCCATTTCGGTTTTTGTCTGAAAAGGAACTCGAAGTGTTCGAAACGTCACACTTATTTTCAATTCTCATTGTGGCTATTTTCATTTTCCTTTTTGTGTTCACGTGATTGTGTTTGTGCTTGTGTTCGCACACAGACAGACACACATGGAGAACGTATTCTAATATATTGTTTATTAGGTTTCAAGCTAGTGATGCACATGGTGATAAAAGCTGACGAGAACGGCTTTTGAATCAGATAAAAGTGAAAGCAAAGGACTCTTATGAGAAAGTGGCAAACATGATAATATGACATCCAACTATTAAATAATGGCTGTGTGTTAGTGTTGTGTAGAGAGCATATTTGAAAAAAAAAAAAAAAAAAAAAAAATAGTTTAGAAACAATTACGTTCACATCATACATTCGCATTGTGTCCATCGCGTCCATTGATATCTTCTTGTTTTATCAGAAATAAAATAAAATAGATGGTCATCATGCCACAGAGAATCCTGAGCTGCAGAAGCGCCATCCTCGTGGCTTACTTAGGTCTCCTGTTGTACCATGAGTTCCTTCGTGGTTCGAGCACGGAGCCTCAGGTGCAGGTGGAGGCCCAACAGGACACCTCTGCCCCTGGCCCGGTCCATGTCCCAAGCTTGGTCCTTCCGGAAGCCACGGAGATCCTGGGCGGCCTGGGGGAGAGCGAGCCAGGGGGCGTGACGCTAACGACGAGCGGGAGCGCCGAAAAACTGCAGCAGGCCACGCAGGTTCTCCAGAATGTCGGCGAGTGGTTCGGCAACCACGAGGTCATGGCCACGCTGACGGAGGCCAGGCTGGAGAGCATCGAGAAGCGGCTGGAGACCTTCTCGCGGATGGTGGACAACTTTTCCAAGGGACTCGACCTCACGTGGAAGCAGATTGACTTCGTCAACAAGCACTACACAGGGGAAGTGGCCACGAAGCTGGAGACGATGATGTCCTCCGTGCAGTACTTCCACAAGCAGCTGGAGACACTGAACTTGCAGCAGAGAACAGACATCGACGCCAGCCAACAAATGGCTTCAAACTTCCTCTCCGTGAACAGCAGACTCGCAAAACTGGAAGAGAAATCGGAGGAAGACAACGCGGGCATTCGTAGCGTCCAGTTCGACTTGGAGGAACACCTGCCGTTGCTGAGGTCGATGGTCAAGGAGGAGGTCCAGGCTCACCGCGTGCCCGAGGACCTCGACTCGCGCATGGTGGCCGTGGACGAAGCCACCGTGGCCACCATAAACAGGATGGGCAATCTCGAGGCCAAGGTCGCCGAGTCCGAGAGGCTGCACGCAGAAATCCTCAGCCTCACCGACAGCCTCATCAGGAGAGACAACGAGATAAACAACCTGACGGCGCTGCTGCTGGATCTCGTCAAATCCGTCCACACAACCCAGAGGCATCCGGGGGTTCCACTGCACCCAGGTGAGTTTTGATATCCATTTCGGAATTACAATACTCTGGCACTGAAATTGTGCGCAATGTATAGACATAATTGTACTTCCTCCATCAACACAAATTTATGAAATAGTTTGCAATACCATAATTCCTTATTAATATAATAAACTTGTTTTTTGCACAGTTCCCATTCAATTGAAATCTCTCTTTTCAAGGTACAATTTTTAAAAGAAAAATACTGTAAACTAAACGACATCATTGTATAAATCGTACTTTCGCTTATAAAATACATTGTACTTGTAAAGTGAAAACAATTTGGTTACAGAGATTTTTATGTACACTGATTCTGTACATACCTTGCCTCCTTCGGGAATCCACAACACTCGCTTATCAATACTGTCTCAGTGTATTCAACCTTAAATACCCTAAACTTTATAAGAAGCAGAGGCTGATAAGATCATTAAGGGCAGCCCACAACAATTTTAATACTAAACTTAATATCAACAAAAACTACACATCTAACAAAATATCTAACATTTACATACCGTGAACCAACAGCAATATCAATTATACAGACTAGTTATTAAATTAAACAATAACTACATCTCTTAACTGCGCATCAACTACATAACAATATAGCAACAAGGTACGCTAACTTTTACACACCTTGCATCTCATCAACAACAGAGTGCCGCTCCCCTTACCTTCGTGTGGGCCAACTATGCCTCGCGACCACCCGCACGCCCACGCCCTGGAACCACGCCCGCGACGCCTGCCTTGGCTCGGGGGGTCAGCTCGCCCTGCCCTCCAACCTGACCCTCTTCGCACGCTACCTCAGATCCAACAACGGTAAGTGGAAGGAAGATGACAATGTACCTTT